AGCTCTTAGAATACAATATGAAGGAGGAAAATTGGAAATGCAAAATGTATGTACTGTTCATATACTTATTAATATTCGGCAAGTGTCTACCATAGTTAATAGTTTATGTTGTAATTATCAGCACATACGCAGATATTATACATAATATTATGACCATTGACCATGAACATAAATAAAAAAAAAACTATGAAATATATAAACAAAGTGTTATAGTATAATATTATTATGCGATTGTACAATTTGAGTTTATATAGTAAACACATTCAGCTTCTTAATTTTTTATCATTTGGGGTGGAATTTTTAGTTATTACTGCCGATTATATTTGTATCATTTATACTCTGTATGAAGTCAGAAGTATCGATAATGAATGATTATTATAAACCAATATAGATTTATAAATTACTGCAAGTTAATTGTTTATTAATTAGATATCATATTATCGTTTAATACACTTAATTTATCAATCGAGTACTTTTTTCTTACCATCACTTTAGTACCATTTAATGAATTATCTAATACTTACAAAAGTATGTCCTTGCCAAATTCTTCTAGGAATTCAACCTTACGTTGAGCAAAAATAACTTGTTGTTCGACTTCAATGGACTTCATTGTTAAGATGCTATCGATCAGTTTGACTACAGCAGAAATATTCATAGGATTGTCACTCATTTTGATTTCAATCAATTGTAACAGCAGACGACTACTTTTTTGAACATTCTATAGAGCAATGAAAAAATGTTTTAGAAACAAATTTATGTACAATAATTAATATACAATAATTAATATACAAACATTTATTTTTTCAACTTCAGCCAACAAAATTTCGGAAGCTCTATCASCGTTGTGTAACATCTAAAATTTTAATATTAATATGAATATTTTAAATTGATTATTACAAGAGTGTTTTTGTTTTATTCTTACTTTCCAAACAAATCGAGCATATTTAACTGTTAAAAGGATAGAAGTTAATGAAGAGTTTGCTGTACTTATGTAATGTTCATATAACTCGCATACTCTATCATTACAATTCCTTCGTCTTTCCAAATTAATCCTTCTTTGGATTATTAACTTTTTGTGCGGGGATACACTATCTAACATGTCAAGAATTTGAGCAGCCTTATCATATTGTCCTAAAGCAATTATATTTATTTAAAAAAATATGAAATTTAAAATATTTATATACCCAAGATAATATTATACAAAAATTAGTTACCATTATTTTCTAAATGTAGAGCCCATGTTAAGTTAATACCAGGCTTATTCTTATGGTGAACAGTGCATGCTCTAATGTATATATCCTCAATACGGTCTTTAACTTCTTGGTCATCAGATTCAAGACTCTCTAAATAACTTACATACTATAGGGAAAGTATTAATTAATTATTTTTTAAATAGAAATTAATATATTGAGAATAATCATTACCTTGGTCCAAAATTCTTCATAAAGAGCACAAGCAATTAAACATCTTTCAAATAACACCACAATACGTTTGTATGAACCTTGACTAATTTCAAACTCCAAATATTCTTTCCAGTTTCTAATTTGAGATCTTTCTAAAGGTTTTACATGAAAGTATGGTCGTTTAATCTAAAATAAAAAGAAAAAATTAAACTAGAGTTCATTAAATTAAGTAAACAATGTTTAGAGCTGACCATTTCTTCATAGGGTAATCGTAATGCAACCATTTCTGCCGTGTGTTTATGTATTCCAATACGTGATGCAATCATCTTCTCTTTCATTAAATTTTCTTCCTTGGTACGCTAAAAAAGTAAAACCCACACATTAAATTACTTATTTTAAAGACAAAGTTAATTTCATGGATTACTTGTTCCATAGGATCTGCCATGTCATCTGAATCAGAACCAGAATCAATTTTCCTACCATGGGTTTTTTTAGCGTCAGCTTCCTTAATCTCAGCTAAGACTTCTTTTCTTAACTCCAAAAATTTAACAGCTTCCAGTATTTTGTTTTTAGGATATTTCTTAATATAGTCTTTGAAACTGAATAATAAAATAAAATAAAAAAATATCCATTAATTTCATATTAAGCTGCATAAATACTACCATTCAAAATTATTTAAAAATCCATGGGTGGGAGTGGCAATTAGACGTTCATAAATTTCTGTAACTCTTGAATATTGTTTGCACTCCAATTCAAATTTGATGTAATGATCCCATAATCGATCAGATCTTGAACAATTGATTTCTATCGTTATTATAATCACTTTGAAAGTTTAAAAATTTAAAAACATATTTACCTAAATTCAATTCCGCAAGCTTCTACTGCCTTTTCAAATTGTTCCCTTATCATGTCTTCGTCATCTGGATATGCTGATTTCATATAACCCATATAATGAATCCATAAGTCAACACTCAATGGTATAGCTTTTAAGCCACGATCAAAAACCTGTGCACAATATAAAATGAACAATTTATATAAGATGAAAATAATATAAATAATTTTGAGTTCACTTAAATATTATAAAATCATGCCTTTAACAAAAGGATTTAAATCTAATACATTTACAAATAACCTTATGACTAGTTTTATAAATCACCGCTTACCCAAAATATATCCAAAACAGCTCTTGGCGTGTGTCGCAATGCCGCATTATGTTTTCTTATCATTAAAATTAATTTAACAAATATTCAACTTAATTAATTTAAAAAATATAATACAATAACCAAAATAGTAATACTTAATAATATTAACAATGATTCATCTTAATTACTTAATTGTAATGTAAAATACATAAACTTAATACATAATCATTTGTTATTACCTAATAATTATTTGAAACCATACCATATCATATTATTAACAAATACAGTATACAAATTAATGATATTTAAGAATCAAATAAACATATTTTTCACACTTTTTAGTTAAATTCGTGCTTTTTTGGGCCACGGTGGAGCGTGCAGTKTTTTGTGCTTTATCCAGCAGCAACCTGATGAAAAATATCTAGACTAAAATCATGTAAAATATTTATAAAGAAATCTTTGAAGAATTTTTACTAAGAGGGAAATATATTTTGGGCAAAGGATAAAATCAATCACAACACCTGAAAAGTGAGATATTTTTAAGTATCATACAAAAACATTAACAATAGTAATTATAAAAAAACAAGTATCACTTTAATGTGTTTTTAGTGAAATATTTAGAAACTAAATCTACATAATAAATAACTGTAAGCTTGGTTTGGACGATATGTGTAATGTACGTTTGAACAGTGTTGATGTTTTTGAAAATAAAACTTGATACTAATATTAAGATGTAGAAACAACTTCAAACTGAATTAAATCCATGATAAACATAATTGAATCTTCGTCTTCAGATCAGAAAATTGTTAATTTTGATTATAACTTATTAACTTATTTTATTATAAATAAATTTAAACACAAACTTGATAGTTGACAATGCTTAATGGATATAGTCTGAGATATAAGGTTTATAAAATAACAATCACAATAATAATTAATAACAATCAGAAAAACATAATTTTATGGTAAACAGTTGTTTGTGTTAAAAATTAAATATTTAAAATGTTAACAATAAAACTATTAACTACCAACAATCTAAGGTCATAAAAATAAATACTTGAGCTCCTTGAATGCTTCTCTCTTTGTGGTGGTTAACACACAAATATACAGTACAATTTTCACATTACAAAAAAATTATTTTAATACATCATGAATTATGGTAATTAGTTATAATTACTATTT